GCAATTTCACAGTCAGAGAAGGAATTCAGAGATAACCTGATATGTTTTCTGTGTTTTCCTGTTTTTTTCTGATTCCTACTGATCTTTAATTCTTATTTCAGGTATAGTCATTGCTTAGGTTTTCTGCCTTTATGGTTATGGTGTTTGTCTCTTGCAGGAGCATCACTGTCTACGAATAAAGATCCTTGGAGACTGTTACTACTGTGTGTCTGGTCTGCCGGAGCCTAGGCCGGACCACGCCCACTGCTGCGTGGAAATGGGCCTCGACATGATCAAAACCATCAGGTGCTGTCTTCTTCTACTGTCCTTACTTTTTAACAAAGCTCCTTGTTGTAGGGAAAGGCTTTTACTGCAGCTGTCATCAGTTGTTTATGCCTTTAGTTTTACCTTAAACAGGTGAACAGTAGTTCAGTTGATTTCAGATCAGACCACTTGTTTTCCATCAAAGACTCCTGTGTTGCTTTTACAGTATGTTTTTGGTCAGTCTACTGACTCACTGGAAGCTGGAAGCCATGCGTGTCCATGCAATAGATTGATCTTTCCGTCTTACTTTGATTTCTCTAAGGAACACAGTGCCAGAGCTTTTTAATTTATTTTGGCAAAATTTATTCTGGTTTCTAATTTCGAGACTGATCACTGGTTTGCAGATTATGCACTAATATGTTTGATATCAGATTCCCTGTAAAGTCTTTCTTGGATGGTAGGCTTGGATAAAGATGCCTCGTGTAGAAATGCTTTTTTAAATCTATCATGGAAAGAATCCTGCGATCATCCACCGCTCTAGGTCTGTTTTATGTTGCATCGCTCCTCGGCGCGTTCTTCTTTTTCTTGTCTCATCAAGCTTTAAATTTGACGTCTCTTAATGTTGCTGCGATCGCTCTAATGCATTTGTTTTTGTTCGTAGCCTGAGGATGGCCTGTTTCACTGGCACAGAGAGCTCCTTTAACAACACTCGGGTTCACAGAAACAGCTTACAAATGCAAATGACACACTTCAGCCTTTTTCTCCACTTAATCTATGAAGACATAATAAAAGGAGGAACGCACACCTGTCCATGAGACAGCTTTCGAGTGCTTTGCGCAATTATATTTCAGCCCCTGGAAATAGAGACTGTACATTAAAAGTGGATTTAATTCCAATATTTTTTAATCAGAATCTGCACTTTTTGATTGAGTGGTACTGATATAAATAAGCTATGAGTTAGATGTAGTGTTTTAGCTATTTATATGGGAGGAAATAGCTAAGAAATAGCTAAAACACCACATCTAACTTATAGCTTATTTATATCAGCATTTAAAAAGGTTTGGATAAAGATGTCAGCATTTATAAGTCAGCATTTATAAATGCCTTTTGGCCTGGTTGTTATTTATTATGGGATTGAGAGGTATTAGCATGCAGTGCATCTTGGTCTGACCTAGATTGCCAAGATACAAAACGCCAAAATCCTCATACTGACGTTTCCTAACAGGAGTTTCTCTAACCAGTGAGGGACATGGGTAAATACACCTTTTAACCGGTTTTTTTTAATTCCCCTTTTGCTTCGGATTCCTTTTTTAACCTTTTTTTTTTTTACTTTTAAAGGTTAAACCTGGTTATTAAAAAAATGACCTTTATTTTGGTGCATCGATGGTGCAGCGGGAGAGAAATCCTTTTAAATCAAAGTCGAGTTTGTCTGTTTTTGTATGAATAGAGCAAATTCATGGTGCAATGAATTCATTGTAACTGCAGGAATCATCTTAGAAGAATAAATGCCTTTTACCCTGAGGACTGTCCTAGTGTCTGTAAATTACCTTGTTCTGCTCGGAAAAGCCTCCCTGCAATATTTGCATGCAGTTTCAACACAAAATCAGTATCAAATAATGTATGTTTGAATTAACAGATGTCTATGCATCGCTGAAATGCAAGAAAACATGTTTGTAGTGCTTGTGATGTATTTTGAAACGCACAACAGGGCTTTATAGATCTTTGTATCAGACTGTGAAATGAGTAGTTCATAGGAAAGGAGAAAAAGTTCTTCTTCAGCTTTGTCTAAAAGGCTCACAGACGCTGGAGTTTGTGCTTTGATTTATTTTATTTCAGTGATCCTCGGTGCTGCTGCAGCGTTTTAACCCTTTGCATTGATATAAGAGTGAGAGAGAAGAGGAGGACTGATGTTCAGAGGAAGGAGACAGATTAGGGTGGATAAGCTGTGAGATTTGTGCTCAGTGTTATCATGTCAAGATGGTGAGCTGTGCACACTTTTTGCTGCGACACCAATCAGTTTTGCAAAAGCTGGAATAAGAGGAGATGGGTTTGCTTATATTGTCCAAATAAAGCAGGTTTTTACTTGTTTCTGAGGGATTGTAAAGCATAAAGGTGGGACCACATTGTTCCCGACTCGTCCGATAAACAGGAAATACTAACCCACTTCCTTAAACGTTGGAACGCTGTAAAAAGTGAATAAATGAATGCAACGATTTTTGGACTTTTGGGAGGGGAATAATATTCCACTGTTATCTGAGAGGAATCCAGCTGCTCAGCTGTCCGTGGTCTTATTTGTCATAGATTTCACTTAATGATGTTTCTGTTTGTGAAAGGTCTGGACTGCAGCGAGCCGTGAAGCTGTGCTGTTGGATTGGCTCCAGTATATGATTTAGCATTGTCTTGTTGAAATATGCAAGGCCTCTCCTGTGACAGATTAGTCTGCACGGGCACAACCTGTATGTACCGTTCAGCACTGGTGGTGCCTTTCCACATGTGCAACCACCGTCAGAGTTTCAGGCTTTTGACCTGAGTGCTGATGACGAGCTGGACGGTAACTCTTTAGTTAGTTCACGATGTT